TGTCTTCTACTTCCCCATGACTCTTCAATAATCCACTTGAGTGTATTTTTGCTACTTTATTACTGGCTAGCTCTCTAACTTATAGTCCTCCTTGATGACATCATATTCTCAGAACTTATTCCTCTAGATACATCTTCATATATCCTTACAGTGTTCCAAGTAATCTCTAAGGCCATCCCATTATTATGAATAGATTTTTTTTTCTCTGTGTCTAAACTAGTCTCTCCTCCCCGCCCCCATTCTTACACTGAAGTGCCTAGAGGGTCTAGGAAGGTAGGTTACTAAATGTAGCTGGCTGGGTATATATTTTTGTATGAATGTACTGTGTGGCTGGGACTGTCAGGGTCTCTATACTTCCTTTCTTTGCCTACTGATCTATTGGTACAAGAAGCCCAAAGTAACCTGGTGGTAATCTCAGTCTCAGTGGAACACTTAATGTGTCCCCTAGAGGAAATGTTCTTCATGGGAATCAGGACCATATCCTAGACTAGATTTTGGAGCTAGGAAACACAAATTCTGCAAGTGGGCTACTGGGTATCATAGTAATAGGGGCTACTCCTGTTTTCTGTACACACGTAGTCTCCTATTGGAGACAATACCATATATCCATATTGGTTCAATGTACATCAATGCATGCATTGTATCCTGAAGGACAGTTCCCATCTTTGCAAGTGTTATATCTTAGCAATTTAGCTGAGTCTTCAATAGGCCATTCTAAAGTTCATCCTGCCTAAGCTGCTTCTAAATGATGAATAAACACTATGAATCTTGCAGTTTTAAGCTCACTGTCACACCTCCTTTGCTATCAAATGGGCTCCTTAGTTTAAGGCATGTCAATGTGTAAGACACTCTGTAAGTCCTCAGATGGTGGTGCTGTGAAGGCATGCAGTCAGGGAAGACAAGCCCATATTTAGAGCACGTATCAATTCTGTTAAAACAAATGGCCACCCCTTCCAAAGTAAAAGGGATTTTATACAAGGAGGTAGCTTGTATCCCCAAAGATCAATATTGGGTCTCGTGCTGGCAGGCCGGACACTTCACAGCAGTTTTATCAGCGTTGGTAAGAGGTAGCTTATATTGTTGGGACTATGCACAGCCTCTATCCCTGCTGCCATGGTCTCTCTGTTCATGAGCCTATTGCATAAGCTCTAGGCCCCCGAGCAATGAGCCCTACCATTCATCACTGCCCAGGTGCTGATGCACATCTGTAACTTAGGCTACCCCCTCCAAAATACGATGTGGATGATCAAATGTACCATTGCTCATTGAGATTTTTCTTCACCAGTATAATTCAGAGCAATCCCTGAGTGTAATGAAGGAGTCATCTGTCTCTGGATAATGCCAACATATTGAACTGACCCATCTGTTAAGAGGCCCAGGGCTCTTCTGTGTCCATCAGTTAGTTGTAGGGAACTGCTCCTTCCATAAGACCTCAGGTGGAAGTTAAGGATGAGTTGGCAGTAGAGCAGATGAGTGACATGGAAGTCACTCATCTGCTCTACTCATGTTGTTTGTGTCTTTTTTGATCCATTTAAGTCAAATCCTAAATATACAACATCCTCAGACAATGAATGAATGAAGTGGTGCTGCACTTGTTGTACCTTATGATTTGGTATATCTAAAAACACATAGCTCATGAACAGCTCAGGCTGTTCTGGTTGCATGATTACAAGCTGTGCAGGGCCAAGTTCTTAGCCTCTATGAAGTTCCTTAGCATACCAAAGCATTTTTTTAAAAACATTTTTTAGCAGAAGGTTTTTGCTTTTTGCTTTAGAAGGCATGACCTTGCTCCAGAACCTTAAGTATTTGTGCTGTGACTCTTTGTTATTGGTTGAATTGTGCCTCCACCTCACTCCTACTCATATGTTGAAGTTCTAGCCATAAATATCTCAAAATGTGACCTTATTTGGAAATAGGATCAGTACAGATGAAATTATTTAAAATGAGGTCATACTGGGGTAGGGTGGGACCCTAATCTGACTGGTACCCATAATTAAAGGGGAAGTTTGAACACACAGAGCACACAGGGAGAATGTCAAGTGAAGGCAAAGACCAGGAGAAGCTTCTACAAAGCCAAGGAATGCCAAAGACTGACAGCAAACCACTAGAGGCTGGGGAGAGGCGTGGACAGATTCTTCCTCACAACTCTCAGAAGGAATCACACCTTAACCTCTGACTACTAGCCTACAGACTGTGTGCCAATACATTTCTGTTGTTTAAACTGCCCAGTTTGTGATACTGTGTGGCAGCTCTAGCAAACCAATACACTTCTTGTTGGGGCTTGCTGGAGACTCCACACAGCATCTGAATCTACCAGAGATACCATCATATTTGCAAGTAAGTTTGCATTGTTGCTTGAACTTACAATGGACCCCTCTCTTATCTTCATTCTTTGGCTCATGACCTCTCTCCACCTTCAAAGCCAGCACTATAAAATTTCAAATTTCCCTAACACTTCTGCCTCCTTCTTATAAGGACTTTTGTGATTACACTGACCCCATCGGATAATACGGAATGATCCTATGATCTTAGATCCTTAGTATAATCATATCTGCAAAGTCCCTTTTTGCATTGTGAAGTACATACTCATCAGTTCCAGCAATTAGGATATGGGCTTATTTGGGGAGCCATTATTTGATCTTATACTAACTTTATATTTCATGACTTTGATAACTCATTTTTTACTTCTGGTAGGGTTTTGTTTTTGTAAAAAAATCTTCCAGATTTAAAGCATTTTTGGGAGACAGCATATCACTGAGTTCTTGGTTTTTATCTAATCTGACAATCTTCTAACCAACATGAAGTTTGGCCTGAACAACCTTGTCTAGATTAACCTGGAAACAGCTCCCCCCCACAATCCCCTAAGCTGGAGCCCTTCCACTCTGGTTAGATTATAGTAGGCTAGCTGGCCTTTAGAGGTGCCCAAACTTTGCTGCACTTTGGAATCACGAGATTTATACTGATGCTCTGGCTCCCATTTCTAGACATTCTGACTTAAACGGGATAGACCTGACCTGACCATTATGATTTTCAAAAGCTCCTAAAGGTGATGCTAGTGCACAGCAAAGTTTGGGACCCACTGGGCTAGACTCTGTACCTACCAGGTTCATTTCTCTGTGAGTCTTTGTGAATGACCTTTCTTCTCCTCTCATCACTTTCCTCATGGTCCAGTTAAAGAGGCATTCCATTACTTTGTTCAGGTTCCAACTCAAAACTTTTGTCTCTATGCAGCTGTCCCCATCTGCTCCAGTTACCCCATGTCTCCTCAGCAATTAGGTATTTATTTTAGCTTTATGTGCACATGAGAGCTTCTATCTCAAACTACAAAACTGTAAGTAGAGATGTGATATTTTACTTCTTTTGTATCCATGTCTTGTGCAGTGGTGGGAAAGATTAATGTAGTGTCTGATTCCTTGGAATAGTTGCATTTTCTTTAAAGCAACATATTTTATCTTTTTTTTTTTTCTGAGACAGGATCTTGCTCTGTCACCCAGGTTGGAGTGCAGTGTAGCCTTGAACTTCTGGCCTCAAGTGATACTCCTACCTTAGCCTTCCAAGTAGCTAGGACTACAGGGGCATGCCACCACACTCAGCTAATTCTTAAATTTTTGGTAGAGGTGGTGTCTCCCTATGTTGCCCAGCCTGGAATACAGTGACACGATCATAACTCACTGCAACCTTGAATTCCCAGGCTCAAGGGATCCTCCCACCTCAGCTTTCCAAAATGCTGGGAACACAGGTGTGCACGCGCCCCTGCCCTACATTTCCTATAAAGCAATAATACAGTTTAAGCTAAAAATTACAATTTTTACAAGTTAACTATTTCCACCTTTGTCATTTGGCAAACTATTGAAAGGAAATCTTCTTCAAAAGCAAAAATGGCAGCTATTGCCTCTTACCACTCTGTTAGGATTCAGTGACTGTTGGTGGGAAGTGGACTCTTAAATGGGTGCCTTCTGTGGTCCTCTCACTGGAGCAAACTGCCTGAATAAGCAAAAACTTGGACACAATGTGCATCACTGCCATAAATCATTCACTTCTGCTGCAGAAATGGTTTCTCCCCACTCTGCCAATAGGTACAACCTGTAAGGAGCTTTGAAGCAGGGAAATGGCAACTCAGGGAAAAACTCCAAACCTATAGCTATCCCCAGGATATTAGATTAGCAGTTATGAAAAGGAAGAAGTATGTGTCATCTGTTGTCCCAGGGACCTGTCAATAGGAACAATAGACAGACATCACCAGGGGGTGTGTTTCTATTCAACACAAGAAGTTTCTAGCTAGAGCAGTCCAGCAAGCAGTAGACTAAGCAATACATTTTCTCTCATCCTGACTCCACTGTGATAGGGATACCACAGACTAGAGAGACTGTATCATAGGATGTAGTTTAGATCAGTGGTGCTCAAGAAGGAAACAGAAGGAAGGCTTATCAGAATCTTCAAGAAGCTGATGTAGTCTGAAAAAGCATATAGAATACCACACTTACGATATATTTAATTTGAAATGTCAGCATTAAAGGATAGCGCTGGATTTGCTAAAACAAAGGAGTAACAGCTAAAGTTCCTTCCAAATCACTTTTTAAAATTCCTTAAGAGGCTTGCCTGTGCCTAGGAGGTGCAGTTCCACTCACAAGACATCACATTCTCTTAGGACCCAGGGAACCTTAAAAAGTTTCCGTCTGCCTGGCCCGAAGCATCACGTTTTACCTATCCTTGTTTCTGCAGAGTCGTCTTTCCACCAGGAAAGCAGCTCTCTCTCTCCCATTCCAGCGTGCTCAATCCCCCCACCCCCCTGGGTTCCTCAAGAATCTTAGTGGATTTCGATGCCACGAATTTCATGGCCCTCCTATCACAGAGGCGCTTGCAATCCTCGCCTCGTATTAGTCGGCGTCATATTACACTCTGCGCAGGCACTCTGGTACTAGTTCCCGACCGGCCGACTCAGGGAGGTCGGGCCATTGGGTCGGCCCTCCCTCCTCGGCCCCCACACCGACCCACCTGGGCGGGCCACCTCCCCGCTAGGGGTCGCAAGGGTCGGCTGGCGTCAGGCAAGGACCCAGGGGACGCTTTCCCGACGTCGGTCGCGATCATCACTGGCACAACGGCTAGAGACGCTCAGCAGGTTAGCGGGGAGGGCGGTGGAAGCGGAAAAGGACGCCGAAGAGCGACACGGACGAAGCTCGGAAGGCCCAGAACGCGCGGCCCGGACCCCTAACCCGCAGCCCTCATCCGGGGCTCTCAAGCCGGGCTCCCATCCGGGGTTCTCAGCCGGGACGCTCATCCGGGGCCCTCATCCGGCGCCCTCATCCGGGGCCTGCCCTCCCCCGCCGGAAGCGCCACCGAGAAGCGTCAGCCTCCCCGCAGTCTAGAGCGGTCGGGGCCAGGCGGCTGTGGCCCTGGGAGCGAGCGTGTCTGCGACGGGACGGCTGCCAGGCCCGCCCCTCCGCTCGGGTGAGTGCCCGGAAGCCGTTCTCGGGTCGCGGTGGGGCGACCACTTGTTTCGTCTACCCCCGCGTAGGCGGAGGGGTCGTCCGGCCCCGGCCGACTGCGGTTCCCTTCCCCAGGAGCGCGTGGAGGCCCGGGAGCGAGGGCCTGTTTCTCTTCCGGCCTGCTTGGCCCCGCAGACCGAGGCCCCTGCCGTCCGGACCCGGTGACCGTGCCCTGGTGCGAGCTGGGTCTGTATGGCCCGCCTAGACGTTTTGGTACCGTGTCTTCGCCTAGGAGGGAGGCGGGAGGAGGGCAGCCCGGGCGAGGCCTTCTGAGGGCCGAGCGAGGAGCCGGCGAGGGCCCTTGCCGAGGGCTGTGGAAGGAGGACGGAGCCCTGTCACGTCCTTGGGTTTGAAGGGCACCAGTCAAACCAGTTTGAATCGCAGCTCTTCCTTGTGTTACCTCGGTCTGAGGAAGTGAACGAGTCTGACCTCAAAGTGGGGTTTTATTATTCGTCAAGCCCATTTGGTAATCCAGAGCGGGCTGGCCGAGCGTTACTAAGTCATTCCTAAGGGGCCTGCTTTTTAAAAACAATGAGGAATCATAACCAGCATTTTTCTCAGGGCCCAAACCTGAGGCTCCAAAGAAGGTTGTACATTTTAAGCATTTTAAATGCTCCACAGAAAAGCTTTACACTATTAAATTGCAGTTTGATTAAAAAAAACCTGAGATGCCAAATTAGAAGGGTATAAATAACCTGCATACCTAGATCCTATGGTTTAGTTGTTAAGTATTTGAAACGGAATAATGTCCATTCTTTTCTTTAATCACCCCATTATTTTGGGTGATTAATCATTACCAACTGATTTTTATTGGTTACCTACTGTGTGTAAGATGCTCTGCTAAGTCCCGAGGATATAGAAAATGATGGGATGTTTTAACTTATTACAGTAATTTCTCTTCATCTCACCTCGCAGTGATGGTTATTGTCCTCCAGAACAGTGATGGAGGAACTATCGGCCCAGGAAGCAGCAGGATCACCAGGGGTCCAGTTTCCGTCTTTGGAGGCCCAGTCTGAGGGTCTGTCCCCAGAGCCTCAGTTCCTGCAGGACACCGACATGGAACAGGGACTCACCGGGGGTAAGGCAGAGACAGTACTTAAATCCGGGAGAATGGGAGTGTTGAGGGGCTCCTGAGCGGGCTCCCAGGCCTGGTATGAGAGAGGCCAGGAACTTGAATAAGAAGATGGCTCTAGAGGGGTAACTGGAAGAGAGAGACAGATGTGACTTAGTTTGGTCCTGGTCCAGGCCCCTCTATTAAGGACAGTGTCTTTCTTTAATAAGCAGAGCGGTAGTCACACACTTAGCTCTGGCTGTTTTTACTTCAGACACCCCTCACTTCATCCCTGTTACCACATCCAGAATCATTACTAAGATAGGCAACTTTTGCCCCATCTCACACGTCGTTGCCTGGCTCTCACTTCCTCTTATTACAGGACCTTTCCCTTCTCCCTCTTCCCTTCTCTTAGTTTCTCTTTCCTTTGCTCCCTGCCATTCTGTTGTAACTGCAGTGTTAGTCACGAATCTAATTTTTGTCAGGAGAGCAACTATTTAGTTCCTTGGTTGAGCACCATGCTGGTGTGAATGTATACACAATTACATTTTGATTGTACAGTCACATTCTTATGTTTTGTATAGGTAGGTTGGTCTTTTTCTTTTTTTTTTTTTAAGAACTGTGTTTTAGATTGCTTGTGGCCAGCTCCGATGCCTGAAATAACTTGTGTGTCAGCAATACAGATTGAATGCCACAGTGTGTAGAGTGCTGTGGGACATTGTGGGAACGTGAAAAAGATTGTGTGGAAATAGATGACAATTCCTTGTTATTGGGGGTCTTACACACCAGCTGCAGAGATAATTCACAAGAGAAAGGCTTAACGCAGTTTACAGAACAGTGTCTGGGAAAGGGTCAGAAGTCTGCTGAATAACGCTGGCCTTGGACAAGTTACCACAAGTCGTTATGCTTTGCTTTGCCCATCTGCAAAACAGGTATAGTCTTACCTTTGTGTGAGAAGACTGTCATGTGATGAGGGTAAAGTGAAATACGAGATTTCATAATAAAGTCCTGCATTGCAGGTCTAAACATGTGTAAATAGGGCATGCAAGTGCTGAGAAGAAGCAGGGTAGACATACCTGATATCTGATAGATGTTCATTATTTTTACTAGAATATTGACGTGAAGGAGGGTCCCACTGACACCCCTTGGGCAAGACAGGCCTCTTCTGCAAGGGAGCCCTGGGGAAGAGCTACTCTCACTCTTGGCTCCTTTCTCCTCCCTCAGCTCCACCTGTTCCCCAGGTGCCTGCTCTTCCCCACGAGGGAAGCCCAGACCAGGCAGCTGCGCTCCTGACAGCCAGGTACCAGGTGAGCTGAGGAACCCTCTGCTTTTCCTCAGGGACTATTGCTGCTGATGGAGTGTGGCCTCTCTCTCATTCTACCTGTAGACCTTGCCTGGAATTTTTTTTTTTCCCAATAGCAGATTCCAGCTGGGGAACTGATCCTCTTCAGAGACCTGTTCTTCACACAGACCACCTTCCCATCTCCCCAGTGCCACAAGCAAACACTGTTCCTTCTTTGTCCGTGGTTCTGTGACGGGCAGTTATAGGCATTTAAGGGTTATGGGATTTACTCCCTAGGTTCTAATCTGTTCTCCCTCCTCCCCAACATAAATACACACTGAATACCCTCTCTATTGTCTTCGTTCTCTGGCTGTGGTGCCACAGTGGTCTCATTCCCCAGAGTAGCCAGGATGTGTTATTTCAGGAGTTTGTGACATTCGAGGATGTGGCTGTGCACCTTACTCGAGAGGAATGGGGATACCTGGACCCTGTTCAGAGGGACCTCTACAGAGAAGTGATGTTAGAGAATTATGGGAACGTGGTCTCACTGGGTAAGGACTTCCTTATTATACAATTTACCTATTTGGATTTCTTTCCTTCTTGTTTCTGCATAGGTAAGAGGTATCTGAGAAGGTCAGTAAAGTATGGCTTAGATTCCAGGTCTTAGAACCTCTGAATCCTCTGTAAGGTCATCTCCTCGGGGAGAGGTAGTTAAGATTTCTTTAGGGGTGTCATGGGGAGACATTCTACTTCTTATGCCCAGTTCATATTTCCTGCTTTTGTGGGGCATCTGTTCCCTATTAGGAAAGGAAAACTATCTTGTGCTTTGCCTGAGTTCTTACCTTCCCTGTCTTTTCCTTTTTTATAGGAGAGACTCTAGCGTGGCCTCCCAAGCCCCAAGCAGTACCCCTATATCTGAGAATTTCCCATTTTTGTAAGAAGAAGAAATGCCTCTTTTAATGATAGGCTAAAATTCTTCTTGTTGAGTAGTCCCTCACCTCTTAAGATCCACAGATTTGTCTCCACGCAGGCAGAACTTGAGAGACTTCACTTGAAGACATGACTCAAGACATGAGCACATTTCAGTGAGTCACCCAGATGGTAATCCCAAGTAAACACGTTCAGGACAGCAGAAGTCTCATACTTTTATCCCACACTAAGGTGGGGTTACTTCTTAAACCATGTCTCTCCCTTGTCATTTTGAATAGTACAGTAGGCAGCTGGGACTGGGCAACAGAGTGCTACTGAGTCTCATCAGTAAGGGTTGTGGCAGCCCCCTTGATGTGAGTGAGCATTGTTCCTTTCTCTCTCTCTCTCTCTCACTTTTTTCTGCTTCTGCACTCTTCTGTTTCTATATACATGTATTTAATCACACTTTTTGTCCCCCCTTTGGCTTTGCCTATGCTGGTGGCATCCAGGGCATTGTTTTGTCTTCCTGATTTTGCTCTGGATTCAAGAGGTCTTCTTATCCATGGGGAGGCAGCCTGCCCACTGGGAAGGTTTTTAGTGTGTTTTCCATTCCTGGCTCTTTGTAGGCATACTTCTCCGCCTTCCCACCTCCCGGATTCATAGTGTGAATTCCTGCCCGGCCCTGAGTCATACCCAGGCGAGTGCTTTCTCTGGAGAAACACTTGCAGTTCTTACAGCAGGAATCTCCAAGAGATGGCCCAGATATCGGCTTCCCATCGATATTGCTCGTCCTTGCTCGGAAACTCCTTTTCCACGATGGTAACATATTAAACTTGACTGATGGAGTAGAAGCTCCCCAGGATGCCACCACTATGTAAAATTGCAGCTCCTCAAGTGACCTTTGTTGAATGTCTAGCCCTCTGTTGCAACCAGATGCACTTTGAACCCAGTTCACTCAGAAACCATGGTTGGTGGTTATCTGCTTGTGTTCTGAGAAACCACAAAGTTCAACTTCAGATCTTCAGTTATAGTCTTTTCATATTGTTTTAGAATGTGGAACATAATGCTGTGTGCCCCTCCTTTTATGTAGTGAACACGACCTGCCCCTTATGTTGCCTAAGTCTCCTGGGACCCTGGGCTAGCCTACTGTTTAGCATTCTGGTTTTCTCCTTCCTTGAAGTCCCGTTGCCCTCTTCAAGGTCCTACCTCCCTCCCCTTTACTCTTTGTGGCACTGTACAGATTGATGCCTTTATATTACCTTTCCTGGTTGTGTCCCTTAACTCTGTCCTTGATGGAGGGGGAAAGGGAGGGCAAAAAAATTTCTTTATTTCAGGGCATCGAAATGAATGTCTATTTAATAACTTTGTAAACTGTAAAGTGATACATATAATTGTAAACTACTGTTAATTTTGCCTATTAATTACAGAATTTCCAAATTAACCTGTCTACTTTTTGGAGTAAAGAAACTTTGTAGCAACTTAATGAAGTCCAATAACACAGAATGCCACAGACTGACCTTTATCTCATTTCCTGTCATCTCTGCCCACACACAGGATATGTGTGCACACTCATACATACCAGGCACGCGCACGCGCGCACACACACACACACACACACACACACACACACACACACACACACACATACGTGCAAGAAACCCTCTTCTTACTCAGCTTACTTTTATGACCAAGCCAGCAGCATCTTCTTAGCAATTATTTTTACGGTCTTTGGGAAGTCATTTTCATATTTGTGAGTTTGGCAGACTCCATTTGAAATTTATATTAATAATAAGCATATTTATTAATAATAAACTTACTGTTTAGGGTTGCAAAATAAGACTTTATAATTAAGTCATATTTTCCAGTTCACATCTTTTTTCCAGTAGCTCTGATTGTATTTGTCACTGGCATTAGAACTTTGGTCTTTTCGTTAAATACTTTCACTGTAGTAGTAAATACACAGGGTAAACAACTGAGTAAAAAAGTAGGTAACAAGACTGGGGGTGGTGGCTCACACCTATAGTCCCAGTACTCTGGAAGGCCAAGGCTGGAGGATCACTTGACACCAGCAAGACCAACCTGGACTGCCTAGTGAGACCCTCTGTCTTTACAAAACAAAAAAAAATTAGCCAAGCATGTTGGCATGCGCCTGTAGTCCCAGCTACTTGGGAGGATCACTTGTGCCTGGGAGTTCAAGATTGTAGTGGGCTATGATTGCGCCACTTCACTCCAGCCTAGGTGGCAGAGTGAGACCCATCTCTTGAAAAAGTAGATAGCAATTTTCATTATCGAATTCAAAAAGAAGCATACTCTGTCAATGATGAGTGTGAACAACTGACTGCAGGGTCATACCAATTGGGAAGTTTACTTATGACCTAATGCCAGAGGTTAAGACCCAGAGAGGGGGTTGGGTTACATTTCGCAGGTGACCTATTAGATGATGGCATTAGGAACATACTTGTCAAAATTCTAGTTGATGTTAAGTGGGCTGGTGGATCAGGAATGCTTGGCACATACCTCTTGCTTTTTGAGCCTGATGTTTTATAGGACAATAGTAATTTTGCACAGAATGTTTTCCACTGTCATAGCCATTACAACTGACTGAGCAGCCAGTTTGTTATGAGGTACTGTATGTATCTCATGTAATCTTTACCATAACTCTGTGAGCAGATGACATTACTCCTACTTTATATCTGAGGAAACTGAGGCTCAGAGCAATTAAGTGACCTTTACAGGATCAGTCGTAGGTTTGGGACCTAGATTTGTCTCTGAAGCCCGTGATCTTTTTCACTTTTTTAAAATTTTAATTTTTTAATTAAAAAAAAAATAGAGACAGGGTCTCACTATGTTGCCCGGACTGGTCTTGAACTGCGGGGCTCAAGATACCCTCCCACCTCAGCCTTCCAAAGTTCTGGGAATGCAGGCATGAACCACTGTGCCCAGCTTCTTTTTCACTATTTTATGCCTTTCAGACAATTAGTCCAACCATGTGTGGAGCTTTTTAATATTTTTAATGGATTGTCTTTACTCCAATGACAAGAAAAATTCAAAATGCCATGATAAATTGGACATACAGGCTAGTTTATACGGGTTGGGACCAGAGAGGACATGCATTCAAGAAGTAAAACTATCTAGGGATACATTCCAGTATAACAGGTATCTACAAAAGAATGATACTGCAAAGGAGAAATTTTATTTGTGTATTAAGGACCAGGAAAAAAAGTAGAAGTTTCCAAATGGGTAAAATCTTAGCACAACTGTGGTAAATTCAGCAAACTAAATAAGTTACACTTTAAATGTTATTTTATTTATTTATTTACTTTTTTCTTTAAATGTTATTTTGAAGATCAGATTAAAATAAATCTTATTAGAAAACTCTCAAAATTTAAATAGAATAAAAACTTTAATTTTAAACAGGAAAAATGTAAAGCAATTGCATATTTTGAAAGCATAGAGGCTTGAGAATTAATTTAGGAAAAAGGCATTCAGGTCAATGGCAAGAAAACTTATATGCTTCTGTTTCTGTATGTAATTTCAAGGAAGGGATGGATTTCATTCAGAACTATTATCTTTTACTAGTATATTGTTTAAGAGTCATGTTCTGAAGTAAGACTTGAGTTTGAAAATGAGCTTCACCAGTTATTGTAACCTCGGGCAAGTTACTTAACCTCTCTGGATCTCCGTATTTCCATTTGTAAAATGGGTACAATAGTAATTTCTACCTTGTAAAGTTACGGTAAGTAGTAAATTAATGAAAACTTGGAAAGCTCCTGGCATGGTAGTTTGCACCTATCAGGTGCTTAGTAAACCTTAATATTTTTATGATAGTGATGATATAGATGACTTTAATTCGATGTCTCAAATATTCTTTCTTCTAAACCATAATCTTGTTTCTCTGACTGCCTGCTAGACATTTTCTCTTATATATTTTTTTACAGTACCTTAAACACAAGTCTAAAATCAAACCCCTCATCCCATATGAAGACCACCTTTTTTGTTGTGTACATGCATTGTAAGTGTAAATATGCAATAAATAATCAAGATTTGTTTGAAATATCAGACACTGACAAACACCTTAAATATTTCAGAGTTAAAAGTTGCAAATCATGTTATTGGAAATCTGAGCACAATATTGTTGCCTCATGTCACACTAACATTGTTTTTCAAACTTAACAGAACTACTTTATTTGACATGGGGGATCTTGATTAAATAAATGTCCAAAAGAAGATTTGACTTATTAATGTCTAGCAGGAATTGAAAAACACAGTTTTTATATCTGTTCTGATCTTGCTCATAGGCTCTCATGGGATCCCAAGATAACAGCTATTGGCTTATCATATTTTCAGTCTCATTGCCTTTATTTATAAAATTGGGTAGCTGTTAATACATTGACATTTGGGCACAAGTTGGCACTTGATAAGTAGCTGTTAAGTAAATGAATCAACAGAAGTACAAGGTACACGTTAACATGATCCCTGCTGTCAGAGTTTATAAATCAGGTAGGAATGGTGATACCTGAAACCACTGTTTTAAAATGTCCATATAAATGCCATTATCTAGTGACATGTCAGAATAAGAGGAACAAATAATAAATTTCATAGATATTAAGTAAATGGAGAGAGGTTTTTTTGAGATGAGAGGTTTGAGCTAGACCTTGTATGTGGGCTACTGCAAACTTTCTGGCCTGAACACACATAAAAATTGCCCTTTGATACTAATGGTATCAAAATTCTGCCTCCTCAGAAGCAGACTGACTGTTGCTTTTGCTTTAAAAGAGATTTAGAGCAGTTTTTCTTTTTTGAGAAACTTGCCTACGGCAGGTCTTTCTGCCATGAATCTTCCTTTTCCCTTTTTTTCTTCTTGCTAATAAACTCTGTTTTAAAACTTAAAACAAAAAATAAAAGAGATTTAGATCCAAGCAGCCTGTATGCAAGCCATAAAAAGACCATTTTATGTGAAGATGCACTTCTTTTTACTTTTTAATTTTTTTTTTTAGTAGGAGTTCCACTCTGTCACTCCGACTGGAGTGCAGTGGTTTGCTCATGGCCATCACAGCCTCGACCTGCTGGGCTCAGGCGATCCTTCCGCCTCAGCCTTCCAAGTAGCTGGAACCACGGGATGTTCCACCACGCCTGGCTAATTTTTCGATTTATTGTAGAGATGAGATCTCGCCATATTGCTCAGGCTGGTCTTGAACCCCGGAGCTCAGGCAGTCCTCTTGTCTCCACCTCCCAAAGTTTACAGTCATGGGCCACCGTGCCAGACTTAGATGTACTTTTATTGCCCTTTCCTTACTATATCTTATTATAGTTTGTTTATAGCTGTCTCTGTAGCTAGAGTGTGAGGCCCTTGGGATGGTTCTTTTGCTTGGGCTCTATATCCCCTTTATACTTTGCATAGAGGAGGCACTTCATAAATGTTTATTGAATAAATAATGATGACCTACTGGGTAAATATGTGTCATGTTATTCTTTGTTACCTCATGTACACTGAAAGTAATTTTTTTCTTGAGATTCACCTTTGAAATTTTTATTTAGTTTTCATTGATTGTTTTGTTACAGGCTAGCTCACTATACAGCTGGTGCTTGGGTTTCACCTTTATCCGGTCCTGCAAAATTATATTTTGTTGATCTTCATTTTGATACTTGTAGACTAGGACTAATACAAAGATTGATCTTTAGGTAACAGATGGAGAGTAGTAATGATAACATACCATGCACAAATTCTCCTATCTGAATAATGTTTAAATGAATACTTCTGCTCCCAAGTCATCTACCTGCTCCTTAACACACTTCTTTCTAGAGCACAAATCTGAGCTCCTTGTAGAAGATGTTTGTATTCCTCATTCTCCAGCTTTCTAATAAATGTCTTCTCAGAACTTACCTTCTCTCTCTATTAACCAGTAGTTAAAAGAAAAAGTGGCTGGTGTAACATCTGGGGATAAATTGCCACATCCCATTTCCTTCTTTATGAGCAGGATTTCCAATATCCAAGCCTGATGGAATCTCACAGCTGGAACAAGATCTACAGGTCTTTGATTTGGAAACTAAGAATAGAGAAGTCTTAAGCGATGACTGCTCAGGTGAGTAAGGTAGAATCAATCTGATGCAATTAGTAGAGAAGTAAAGTCCATTTGTTGAGCTAAGTTGTAGCTGCTTTGAGTACAAGTGAACAGCTCTGTCTGTGTCCTGGAATGGAGAGCTCTTTCTTTTCCCTTCACTTGTTAACCCTTTTTATTTGTTTAGTCCTTATGTACAAGTGATGTTAGTTCCCTATTCAAGTTGCTTATCTAAAATTCTTTTAAATTATTTTCTTATTATCGCCTTTAAAATACCTTAACTTAGTGGTCCCCAACCTTTTTGGCATCAGGGACCAGTTTTGTGGAAGACAATTTTTCCATAGACCAGAGATGGTTTGAGGATGATTTAGGCACATTACATCTATTGTGCATTTTATCTCTTCTAGTATTATATTGTAATATGTAATGAAATAATTATATAACTCACTATAATACAGAATCATTGGGAACTCTGAGCTTGTTTTTCTGCAACTAGATGGTGCCATCTGGGGGTGATGGGAGCCAGTGACACCCGAAGTGTGTTGCATATATGTCCAGTCTTCTCCATAATCTTGTTTTGCTTGCTGTCACTGCTGAAAACCCTGCTTCACAAAGATAGAATGTTGGAAATGGAAGCAGGCTTTTCAGTGCTGATTTGACAGGAGGCAGAGTTCAGGTGGTAATGTGAATGATGGGGAGCGGTTATAAATACAGATGAAGCTTTGCTCGGTTGTCTGCCGCTCACCTTCTGCTGTGTGGCCTGGGCCACAGACTGGTACCAGCCAATGGCCTGGGGTTGGGGACCCCAACTGGTTATCTTCTTACTCTGTTGAACATGTCTTGTTTTATCTCATTGTTCCTATTCATGCCCTTACATCTGCTATTGAGATTTTGTGCCTGTTTTTCAGAGTAAATAAACTTCACTTATCCTCATAGATACATTGTTTAGTTTTCTCATATCTTTGCATTTTCTTTTTTTAAGCACAGGGTACAGATTACATTTGCATTTTCTATTTGTATATTGTACTAGATGGAGAGACCAGAGAAGAGAACAAGCTGTTGATTCCTAAGAAAATTTCGGAAGAAGTACATTCACACAGAGTGAGAGTAGGAAGACTCAAACAGAATATTGCTCAAGTTCCTGAGACTAGAGAAGTGTGTAAGTCTGAGGACAGATTAGAAAGGCTTCAGGAAATTCTAAAGAAATTTCTCTTCCTGGAGAGAGAGTTTAGGCAGATAACAATCAGCAAGGAAACCTTCACCGGTGAGAAGAACAGTGAATGTAATGAACCTGAAAAAAGCTTCAATCTGGACTCTACCATTGATACAGATCAGAGAGTTCTTAGAATACAAAATGTTGATGACAGTGATAAGTACGACATGAGCTTCAACCAGAATTCAGCTGCTGGTAAACATGAACATATAAATCTATCACAGAATTTTCAGAGTAGTGAACATAAGGAAAGCTTAATGGATCTCTCCCACCTTAATAAATGGGAGAGCATTCCCAACACTGAGAAATCTTATAAATGTGATGCATGTGGGAAAATCTTCCATCAGAGCTCAGCTCTTACTAGACATCAGCGGATCCATACTAGAGAGAAACCTTATAAATGTAAAGAATGTGAAAAATCTTTCAGTCAGAGCTCAAGTCTTAGTCGACATAAGAGAATACACACTAGAGAAAAACCTTATAAATGTGAAGCGTCTGATAAATCCTGTGAAGTATCTGATAAGTCCTGTAGTCCAAGCTCAGGCATAATTCAGCATAAGAAAGTTCATACCAGAGCCAAATCTTATAAGTGTAACAATTGTGAAAGAGTGTTCAGTCGTAGTGTACACCTTACTAAACATCAGAGAATTCATAGAGAGATGCCCTGTAAGTGTACTGTATGTGGTAGTGACTTCTGTAATACTTCATACTTAGTTGAACATCAAAGGATCCACCATGAAGAGAAATCCTGTAAGTATGATGAATGTGGGTTGGCCTATATTAAACATCAAGGAATTCGTTTCAGAGAAAAGCCATATACGTGTAATGAATGTGGAAAAGACTTCAGATTGAATTCACATCTTACTCAGCATCAAAGAATTCACACAAGAGAGAAAACACATGAATGTAACGAGTGCGGAAAAGCTTTCAGTCAGACTTCATGCCTTATTCAGCATCACAAAATGCATAAGAGAGAGAAATACGAATGCAATGATTATGAGGACGGCTTCAGTCATAGTTCAGATCTTACCCTGCAACAAGAAGTCCTCACCAGACAAAAAGTCTTTGATTGTGATGCATGGGAAAATAACTTCAGTCAGAGGGCACACCTGGTTCAACATCAAAGAATTCATACCAAAGAGAACTCTTATGAATGTAATGAACGTGCACAGACGTTTAGTCAAGTTCAGGCTTCATTCAACATCTGAGAGGTTATACCAGGCAGAAATCATGTATGTACTGAACGTGGTAAAGTCTTCAGTCATAGCTGATCTGATGCTCAGCGTCGGATGATCACACCAGGGAGAAACCTCCGAACGTGATGAATGTAGAAAAGATGTTACTGCTAAACTCTTGTTCAACTCCTGCAAACCCATGCCAGGGAGAAAATCTATACATGTATTGAGTATGGTAAATTCTTCGTGCTATTTTCATACCTTAGTCATATTTGGCTAATTCATACTGTAATAAAATTTTATTGCTGAAATGAATGTGGAAAGGCCGTCAGTCAAAGAAACTACCTTTTTACGTATCAGACTCATGCCATGCAGAAAGCTTATGAGTGTAATAAATGTGTATGTGTGTGAAGACATTCAGTCATTACGCAGTGCCCATTCAACATAAGAGTCTGAACCCAAGAGATGTCATTTGAGTGCAGTAAATGTGGCAAATCTTCCAGTAGGAGTTCATCTAGTTTTTGTCATCAGAAATCCATTGCAGACGAGAATATGATATAATGGCAAATACATATTTTAGGCTTTACCCAACATCAAAATGTTAGAGAGGAAACTTTGATTATTTGTTCCTGAAATTGTATAGTCCTAATCTTTTTCCTTGTTAAGAATTTGGTCTGAGGTTGAATACAGTGCCGTTTTCTCATAGCATTTCTTTATTTAATGTAAGTGTTCTAAGTATGTCTGTATATTTTATTTATATAACTCATTTAAGCTATTTTTATTTTAATATGGTCTATAAACATTTTTATTTTTCTTTAAATCGGTTCTTGTAAGATATTGTTAGTGCTAGTGTTAGTGTTAAACATACCAGCTTCTGGAAAGTAACTCATTTCGCTTTTTCGGCTGTTCTCTGCCCAGGTTCTCGCCAAAATAGATGCTTAGGCCTGCTCTTTTCTAAGGACGCTACATTGTTGTATTCCTTTACAATGACAACACTTGAATTCCTGTTGACTTCTCCATTCTCTTAAGCACCTTTAGATGATAGATTCCTCTAGATTTAAGCTTTTCACCAGCAGGTATGCTGTCCCTACTTGATGTTGCTGGTCTGATGTCTTTCCTAAGGTGAAGCATCTTTAAAAAAAAAAAAAAAAAAAAAAAAGAAAGAATTGGATTTCCACATCCAGTTCAGCTATAAGTATGAAGGATTCTGTCTCCTGAGTTTGTGGCAGGTAGCTAAACATTTCAACTGACACCCAAATTCTTAGCTGCCTTGTCTGAATCCACAGGACATCAGGGAGCCAATGATGACTCCTGGTGGCTAACTATACGTTCATTCAGTGCCTATTCTGCATGCCTAGGTTTAGAGTTCTTTTATATACCTCTAAGGCCAGCAAAATGCTCAGGTCTGTTTTTGATAGGGCAAACATAAAGAACATACAACAAAATCAAGCATCATAAGGGAATGCAGCCTTCCAGTAAACATGATGCTTTTCTTATGTAGTATGTTTAGAGGATATTTCAAGAAAGTGGCAGTCTGTTCCTGGTAAAATTTTAACCACTAGAATTGCTTATTTATCTCTTTGGATCCCCTATCCCCCCCATGTCCCTTCATCAATCCAGGACAGTATTTGAAGTGTGGGGGGTTGTGTATGATTATCACCACATTTTTGTAATTTAATGGAGTCTACAGGCCATATTAAAAAACATGGCTTTTTTGATTGGTAAAAGTGATAAAAAATGTTGGCTCCAGAGTTCAGGGCCACCATCATATACCTAGCAAGAGTTCATAATTCTTTAGGTGATGTCAAAGCATTTTATTATGTTTTTCCATCTTAAGCTTTATAACATTTTGTGAATAAGACAAGTGTTATTTAAAATTCTAGTTGTCAGTTCAGCAATTGAGCTTTCATAGTTCAGATGTTGTAGTCACTAAGGATCCTCAACAAGTATATAAAAATGTATTGCTCACATGTAAGTCTCTTGTGGCTAACCTTTAGGATAGTTCTGCCACTATACTTTGCCATCTGCAATAGGATATCTTCAAAGTAAGGTACTGCTCTAAACATGTTCTAAGTGAAATTGATATGTAAATGAATTAATCTATAATGTAAAAGCAAATGAAAAAAATGCATGTTTTTTTTTCCCTATCAAACATGTATACCCTTACTTATAGAGACCAATAGTCACCTATGGTGACTGAAACAGGATTATGTAATCCCTAAAAGGCAGAATATGTAAAAGTCACATGTATACATTTGGTTTAGGAATGTGCTTTTGTACTTCCACTTGAATAAAGTGTGTTTGGTATTCTGACAATCTGTTTCAAACAAAATCTGAAGTCCTCAGCCAGAAGCGTTTGGGAATGTTGGAATCACCTTCCTGGCTGCAACGCAGTTCCTCTCTGAAACTTGCTTCATAGTAAGAGTAGATTACTTGCCTTTGTATTGATACAAAGCCTACTTTTCCACAGACTCTTGAACAAAAGCTGAATGTTTAGGATTTAAGGGGTTATTTGATTTGGATGTTGTCAGTACATAAAATAAATAATTTGGGGTTTCAGTTAAGCTAGGAAGAGCGTTTTCTTAATAAGTAAAACACATTTAAAAAATGAGAAATACTCCTTGAGGGCAAGTAGCTTGCCTCCTTAAGCAGATATTTAATTGGTCCAATACGAGTTTGTGTTAGTCTTTTTGGACTTGGGGGAGGGAAGAATCTCACAGTAGAAGGACACCTGATTTATTTATTTTCTGTTTTCACCTGCCTACACACATGTGTATGTATATATTCAAACTTAATTCAACAATTCTGCAAGGGAGCTAGCTCCATTTTACAGAGAAACGAAGGTATAGAGAAGTTAGAGAAATTGTAAGGCTCTCACAGCAAGTTAATGGCTCAGGTCTGACCCCAAAGCTGTCTCATGATGTTGGTATGGACAGATCTCAGAACCCAGATAAAAAATTTTTTTGATAGCTCTTCATTCCCTATTACATCCCTTAATGATTCACTATTATCAGTTTGCAGCTGATCCCAAACTCAGAGCTTTTTGGGATACTAGGAGAGTATCCTGAAATTTTAAAGGAACTAGTCAGACCCTCTCTTTGAAACAGGCTTAGTTAAATGACTTTGACACAGGCCAAAGCTCCCACACTTGTATATCCTGCCAAGACACCCTTCCCATCTAGACTTAAATTTCTATTTCCTTTTTCTTTTGTTTTCTTTAAAATTTTTCGAGTCAGAGTTTCACTCTTTCGCCCAGGCTCTAGGGCAATAGTAAGATTGTGGCTCACTATAGCCTTGACCTCCTGAGCTCAGGCGATCCTTTCTGCCCCAGCCTCCCGAGTAACTGGACTACAGGTGCACACTACCACACCTGGGTAATTTTGTTTAAAAAGAGATCAGGTCTCACTGTGTTGCCCAGGCTGGTCTTGAACTTCTGGCCTCAACTGATCCTCCTAAAGTGCTGGGATTACAGGAGTGAACCACCACACCCAGCAATATATTTATTAATGCCCCAAGTTTGCTCTAAATTTTTTCTGCAAACCAGAACTTGTTGATGGGTACGTGTTCTTACTAAGATTTATGATCACAACTGGTGATAGCAGTGGAGCAGAGCAGTAATGCAAACATCCCTAGGTTTTTGGTTTGAGCAAAAGGTTGGGTAGAGGTAGACTGGCAAGGGGGAACACTGAAAGAGGAACAGGTAAATTTTAGGCAAAACGGGTAGCCTGTCAAAAGGCTTGCAGGTCTAAGAGGAGTATGGCACTTTCAGGGTAATGAAAAGTGAGATCTGGAGAAATGCGTTGTCCTAGGAAATAGTATGTGGACAACTGAAGAGGTTCATGAACAGAGTTCAAAGTAAGCCCCCAGAGAGTCATCTGCAGAGCAAGGCACTATGGAATTCCATCTAAAAACAACCTGATTCGTTCATTCGGCAATACAATTGCTAGGCACTATGATCATCAATGCTAGCCAACTGTTAACCTAATGAATCAAACTCATAACATCTCCCTCCATTGTTCTTCATGGGTGTAAGGAGATGCTTGGGCTCTGGTGTGAGCAGGCCAGGGTTCAAATGCTGCTTTTGTTGCCTACTAACACTGGAGCTGCTGACATGCAAGGTAGTAAAGAATACCCCCTTCACAGGATTGTTGTGAGGATTTATGAGAGGACAGCAGTCTAAGCGCTCCATAACTGGTAGCTGTGGTTTCTCTTCTCCTGCTTCACTAAATATATCAAATATGCTGCTGGTAAACCCACACTCCTGGCCAAGTTGGCTGTTTGGATCTTGGCCCTTTCTCTAGAGTTTTCTTCTTTCAGCCCATCAGTAGAGTATGTTTCCTCTGCTTTATTTATTATGCAAGTCAGGCAAAGCTGGGAGGGCTTGGGGAGGAGTGAGAGGAGGCCAGGCTGGCCTGAGGGTGAAGAGTTCTGGCCTCGCAGGGCCATCCTGGCCAGCGAGCACGAAGGGAAGTGGAAATGGGGGGTGGGGCGGCTTACACAGGAGTCTGGGGGAGGACCCATGGGGCGCACCGGGGGGACAATGGTGATGATAAGGACGGAAAAAACCAATTAGATTCCAGGCCCGCTCAGGCGAAGAAAGGCAGGTAAAGAAATCCGTTCCAACTATCATAACACTAAGAAAAGGATTGATAGTAGCGGGAAACTGTGGGGGCGGGGAGGTGGGATCGGCAGTACTGGGAAACTGCCTGGGGAAGGGGGGGGGCACACCTCATCAACAAGGGTACCTGCTTGAGTATTTGTATACCCAACCCTGAATTGTACCCCACAAATTTAAAATAAAAGATTTAAAGGTGGAAAAAAAAAGTATGATTTTAAATTTACTCATCAGAAAAGAAAAAAAAGAAAAATCCGTTCCACCTCCTTGCAGCTCTCCCTTGGGGAAGGGCGCAGCCGAGGGCCTCCACCCCCCTCCACCCGGTCCCGCACCGGGCTCCCCA